GTCGACCATGTCCTCCAGCGGGATCATGTGCTCGATGCCGATGTGATGGTGCGCGCGCTTGGGCAGGAGCTGGTCCTCGACCTCGATGGCGGCGAAGCCCGCGGCCTCGGTCATACCCATCGTGCGATGCATGTGCATCGGATCGCCGAAGCCCGCGGCGGCATCGAAGATTAGCGGCAGGCGCGAGGAGGTGCGGATCTCCAGCGCCGTCTGGCAGAGTTCGGTGAGCGTCAGGTTGGCCTCGAGATAGATGCGCTGGTAGCCCGTGGCGCCGCCACCGAGATAAAGCGCCTCGAAGCCTGCCTCCTCGGCCATGCGCGCCATCATCGGATCGAGCACCAGCGGCGCCAGCACCGGCGTCGGGCCCTGCATCATCTTCGTGAGACTCATCGGCGTTCCTTCCGTTTGCGTGATGTTTGCGGCCTGCGGAACGGGGATCCAACGATTTCTTGTCGGTGCGAGGTCGCTGTTTCATCGTGCGGGCCAACGGGAGGAATGAAGATGCGAAACGGGCTGAAAGCGGCTGTCGCCGTGCTGGCGATGCTGGCTGCCACGGTGATGAGCGCAGGGGCCGCCTCGGCGCAGGCCTGGCCCACCAAGCCGATCAAGCTGATCAACGGCTTCCCGCCGGGCGGCGGCACCGACATCCTGGCGCGCCTCGTCGCCGAGAAGCTGACGGGCGTGCTGGGGCCAGCAGGTGATCGTCGAGAACCGCACCGGCGCCAACGGGCTGATCGCGGCGCAGGCCGTCGCGTCTGCGCCGGGCGACGGCTACACGATCCTCCTCTACACGATGAGCATGGCGTCGACGGCGCCGGTCATGCCGGGTGTCACGCTCTCCTTCGATCCGGACAAGGATCTCATGCCGGTGATCATGATCGCCGGTGTCGAGAACCTGCTCTATGTGAATCCCAAGCTGCCGTTCAAGACGGTCAAGGAGATCATCGACTACGCCAAGGCAAACCCGGACAAGCTGACCTACGGTTCGTCGGGCGTCGGCAGTTCCTACCAGCTCTGGGCCGCGCTCTTCACCTCGATGGCCGACATCAAGATGCTGCACGTACCGTTTCGCGGCGGTCCGCCGGCCATCGCCGAGATCATTCGCCGGCAGGAGTCGACATGATGTTCGGCAATCTCGCCGAGGATCCTGCCGTACATCCGCTCCGGCGCGGTGCGGCCCATCGCCTTCACCAGCGCGCCGCCGTCGCCCGAACT